TTTTTTGTATTCAAAATTAATTATGACAATGTATATTTATATTGAAACAAACTATGTTAAAGGGAATTATATTATTATAACAAAGGGCAAGGTCACCAGAGTTCAACTATGTTTTCACTATGTTTCTTTTTTATTATTTATGTACAGTCTTGCTAAATCTTGCTAAGCATTCAAATAGGAGAATGTTTGCATCTGTTACCTATATTTTAAAATCGTTTTTTGAGTATGTTCCACGATTCACAATTCTACAAAATTTTAACAGTCTATAGCCAAGACTGTTTGGATAATAAAAAGCAAAGAAAAAAACATTCACTTCCAAGTGCCCACAAACATGCATCTCTACCTTAATTGACTTCTTTAACTGCAAAATGTCTTTGTCCTAATTTGGATTTGGGTATTGCTTTATTGGAAGCACATCTACCTTCTGTGATGTCACTGCCTTATGTGATGTCACTGCCTTATGTGATGTCACTGCCTTTTGTGATGTCACTGCCTTCTGTGATGTCACTGCATTCTGTGATGTCACTGCCTTCTGTGATGTCACTGCCTTCTGTGATGTCACTGCATTATGTGATGTCACTGCATTATGTGATATTACTGCATTCTGTTATGTCACTGCATTCTGTGAAGTCACTGCATTCTGTGAAGTCACTGCATTCTGTGATGTCACTGCATTATGTGATGTCATTGCATTCTGTGTGGTCACTGCAGTCTTTGATGTCACTGCATTCTGTGATGTCACTGCATTCTGTGATGTCACTGCATTCTGTGATGTCACTGCCTTCTGTGATGTCACTGCATTCTGTGATGTCACTGCATTCTGTGATGTCACTGCATTCTGTGATGTCACTGCCTTCTGTGATGTCACTGCATTATGTGATGTCACTGCATTATGTGATGTCACTGCATTCTGTGAAGTCACTGCATTCTGTGAAGTCACTGCATTCTGTGATGTCACTGCAGTCTTTGATGTCATTGCATTCTGCGATGTCATTGCATTCTGTGATGTCATTGCATTCTGTGATGTCACTGCAGTATTTGATGTCACTGCATTCTGTGAGGTCACTGCATTCCGTAATGTCACTGCCTTCTGTGATGTCACTGCAGTCTTTGATGTCACTGCCTTCTGTGATGTCACTGCATTCTGTGAGGTCACTGCATTCTGCGATGTCACTGCATTCTGCGATGTTACTGCATTCTGCGATGTCACTGCATTCTGCGATGTCACTGCATTCTGCCATGTCACTGCATTCTGTGATGTCACTGCATTCTGTGATGTCACTGCATTCTGTGATGTCACTGCATTCTGTGATGTCACTGCATTCTGTGATGTCACTGCATTCTGTGATGTCATTGGTCAGAAATCAGTTGAGTTGAGTACATGCAGAATAGAATCTTCATTTTACATTTTCTGTTTTGTTTATACTTACCCACAATGCACTTGTTGCATTTCAGTCTAGACTTCATATTAAGATATTATTCTTCAAAACAATCGAAGGAAACTGTACAATACTTGGTGGTAATATTTGAAGATAGTACTTCGTACATTGGAAGACAGGTGAGTATGAGGGCGCTGTTCCCTCTATCATTCATTTCATGTATCGTGGTATGTTGCATAGTGGTACTCATTTTTCAAATTTAACCCCTCAAATTTTGGTATCTCGTGTTTATGTATTTTTCTATAATTTATTTATTGATTTTTTCTTCATAAGTCTTGATCATTTTTTTTATAAATTATTGAAAAAATGATGTGGGTTTATTTTGTTTACACCAAATTTGAATGACTGAAAATATATAATAACAGGAATATTAAAATCTTGACTTTGAAGTTTTTTTTTTACTTCATCTATGTGTGAAGTTTTTAGCTGAACTGACTTTTTCTCCAGAAACCCCAAATTGGCTGAAATTGGCTGGGGTTAAGGGGTCTTCCTTATAAGCACCTTTAACACATTATGAATAGATGTAAAGCCTGACCCTTGAGGTTTATTTGAAGTAAGTTGAATTATTTCAGGTTTAGAAAAACAACTCAACCTTTAGAGGTCGTATATAGGTCAAGATGGTGTGACCTTTTGCCACTGTCACAAAATAGCCTTATTAAAAATGTGTTTTTTAATTTCCTTTATTATTTTTCAAAATTGGAAAAAAATCTCTAAGCAATATTTTGAAGTATAAATCATGATGGCAGTGCATATATGGTCGTGACCATAGCGGTTTTCATTATTTAATGATAGCGTTTTGAAATAAATAACTTTGATTTTTGTTTCAGGTGATTTTAGATATGATGAAATATGACAACCTAGTTATCAGGCGGGTCGTCAAGGAAACCGCAAATGATGATGTAATTAAGAAATTTGAGGTGCAGTCATTCCCAGCAATGTACCTATACTTTCCTAACCAAACGTATCACCGATTTGATATGTAAGTGATTGAAAGTGCAGTCATGAGTCAATGAGTTATAACAGAGATGCGCATGAGATGTAAAACATCTTTATCCTAGCCCCGTTATCTTGTAATAATGTACAGTGCGAATTCCATTATTATATGTGCATGTAGTTCCTAATGAATATGTGTGTAGTCTAAAAGAGGGACTTGTTTTTGGGTTCTGTGTGTGCGTCTGTCCCTTTATATTATATCTCAGGCTTGTCTCGACTAATTGTGGTTGGGTTCGGTTGGCCACATTCCAACTTGAGTTTTCAGCGAAACAACTTGAACTTGAACTCCCACGAATCACTTGTTAACATAAACTGCATTTATTGGCGAACGAAACAATTCAAACGAAAGTGTAAACTTCGGATAAATAAGTAAACTTGTATAAAAACCATAAAACATGATGAACTAAACTGGCCCACAATTGAGCACGGACTAACAACTAGAACAGAACTACCATTTTACTTTTAAAGGGAATAGAACATTAAGGCGTTTTCCACACAGACGGAGGTCAACCAATCAATGACTGTGTACTAAATTAAATAATGGAATATCAGTCAACACCTATGGTAGTTTCAATGATACCAATGTTTTCCAAATTTGGTATGAAGACAAGACATGAAAGCATACATATACATTTGTTTTCATTTTGCTGATCTATTATTAAAAGTTTTGTATCACATTATGATGATTTATAGCAAAGAATAATAATGATTCACAGTAAATTTGATTGATTCCAGAAAAGAGGCTGACAGAAAGCATTTCCGAGAGTCGTTGATAGACTTTGAAAAACGCATCAACTTCAAACTTGATCCAAATTTGGAGGGACAAGGTGCGGCTATGGGTCACGATGATAGTTACCCGAATCAGGCAGAGAGGTTGAACTTACAAAAAGAACAAGAGTATGATGATTTCGACAAGTCCGATGAAGATGAAGCTGTGGGCCTTGCTGCTCTGAAAAATCTGAAATATGTCAAAAAATAGTAAGTGTTGATTGAGTGAAATAATGAATTGGATCAAAGTATACTGTGATGTGTTGACTCAAGAACACACGAAACATAAAAGAAACCTAAGAGCACTTCTTGTTATTCTGCCATTTTCAGTTACTCAACCGCACTACTTTTTACATATCAATACACTTGGGTGATCAGGAGACGTATAACACCATGTATGTACTTTTTTCGCAATTCATGGATATTTTGTTTATACAGTTGGTTCACCTGAATTAAAATTGTTTACTCATGTTGGACTCCATGGGATTGTAGTGAGATGTAGACATTAAAAATGTGATTATTTTAGTCCATGTAGTAGTTTAAAAATCAAGACTTTTATTTTGGGTCCATCTGTTTATTATTTCTTGTATTAAAACACTTTGGATGATTTTATTTAAAGTTGGTTCAAAGACATGAAAGACTTATATGTCTGTTTTTCTAATCCCTGCGAAACACAAAATGTTATTTTTGCACATGCCCATTACTTTATTTGATGTTTCAATGAAATTGAACATTGCATGGGACAATTTCATTAGAAATTAAAATCGCACAGCAGGATAATATTATACATATGCACATCAATTTGTTTCACGATCTGATTCGAGATGGCCGAATGCTGGCCATTTTGTGCTAATAAGTCATCAAAATCAAGCATTTATGGATGGATTTTGTTTGTACATACGTTGTACATTATGGGACCTTGATGCACATCATTACCTTGCCCGTACCATCAAAGATGGAAGGGAAAGGTATATTAATTAAGGGAAAAATTTTGTCCGGCGTTGTCGTTGTTGTCGTCGTCGTCGTCGTCGTCGTTAATAATTGTTATTGTGTGCATAATAACTTTACTAATTCTATTCCAAACTTTATCAAACTTGGTCACCTTATTCATCAGTATAAAATCTTCCCTGAGTTTGAACAACAGATGTCCTGTATGAAAATATCATGCAAAAATTGAGAAAATCTGATAAAATATTTTGACTGTTTCTACTTGACTGATCACTGGTGATACACATCAAAGGTCACTGATCTCAGTGGAAATATGCATTGTTGTATGTGTTCAATGAAGCAAATGATTTATCTTGTAATAATATCCTTGGTAATGTATCTCAGAATCCCATACTGGGTTTCAAAACCAACTTATGGAGAGATTGCACAGTCTGATACACATTTGCAAACCTACCAATAAAATCGT